AAAGGGATGCTCATAAAGCTGAACTTTTTTAATCAGTCAAAAAGCTAGTTAGTTCGAGGACAAAAGACCTCGCCATCCCAGAAGGGTATCTGCAATATTTATTACCCCATTTTGTTTCATAAATATTTAACTAAGGTCAACTGTCAAGAAGTAGTGCAATTAAAACGCGGGAATAGGCAAGAATTATTTCTGTTCGGCCAATCTTTTTTCACACCGTTATTAAATAGACGAGATCAGCATATCCGTTTTGCTAGCGCTTATATCAGAAGTACTTCCGGACCCACACACGAATTTCCTCGCTTTCTGCTATTCAATTTATGGTTGAAAAGTCTGATTTCAAGTGATTCGCAACGACTGACAGTAATTGTTTTGGTAGTAGAACTTCAAAATTTGCACAAAGTTTCACCCGGAGAAACAATTTTCGAGAACTCAACTGGTGAACCAAATGCAACTAGCAAGAAGTTCGAAATAAATCTGTTCTTTTAATACATCTTTGTTTAGTATCTGAGTTACTCTCTTGATAATAACTCAAAAAATTAACTATTGTAGCAAGCGTTGCAATGGTTTTATTAACTAGATACACCACCCTGGAAAACACTTCTCAGGTACCGGTGTTGTTAAAAGCCAAGGACCAGAAATTATGATAATAATAATACTAATAAAACACAATTTGCAAACTACAAAGAAAACTCTCCAGAATTTACCGAGGCCAACGATCGCTGCTTTCGGCTCCTTGGTGCTGTGCTGGAACGAAAAGGGCTCGCCAAAGTTTAAATGCAGGTCACCGCTTGATAGCAAAATTATCTAGGCCTCGTTTTGTGTTAGCCACCTCAGCTGTAGGATTCGACGGATATCAAAAGCCTTCATAACTCTCGCTAACATGTACAAACTCATCCAATAATTGTTAAATATCTACTGAGGAGAGAAACGTCTTTAATCAACTTTTACTTTTTATTAAAGACTATCAAATGAATGTCAAAGCAGCGATACTACTTGTTTCTCAAACAACGTTGCTGTCTGAAACTGCACTGCTTTCTTTGTCACTGCACTTAAATGTATCCCACGGCTTTAATGCTTTTATCTCCATTATCTGGCCAGAAGGCAGCTGCATTTCCACAAGTGTTGAAGTCATCAGGATACCCTCCTGTACCAAACCCGATTCTGGAATCAGGGCTAGAGCAATCATTTTCTTGGTTACGAAAGATGCCGATTCTTGATTTAGCACGGTAACTGTCAGTTATAACATTGAAGCCTTCTTTGTTACAGTTGAACTGCAGCGAGGCCTGTGAACCAACCAGCGTCTTCCACGTGTTACGACATAGTGAGGTGCCGCGGTATTGCCCGTCAGCGATCAGTGAGTACAGAGAGCTGGCCCGCTTGTTGATGACAATGAAGTTGATCTGGTGGCCGATCTTCATACCAAGGCAAATCTTGGAGAAAGATGTGTTCCAGTAGGTCGGTAGCTTGGTCTCCTGTGAATCAAACCCAGTCTTCCCTCCATTAATGTTGTATTCCTTTTTATCGCTCCAGTATCCCGAGTTATAATGAAAGGTGTCCTGAGAAAAAGTACCAAAGAAAATATTACTTACTAGCTATCTCCATCCAGAACTGTGAAATTTGTTTCCCTTGACCCTCAATGTCTCCCTCAGCTTTGTCTCGCAGAAACAAAAACCGACTGTCTCACTCGACGTCAGTCCATAAGTGCTTCTTTAAGGGCCCATTAACCGATCTTTTCGAGCCGTTGCTAGGGAAAATTTATTCTCATATAAACTCGTCATTTTTAGTCACTTCAGAGTTATTTCATGTGTTTTAACTTTTTCATGATCAGCAACACCAGTGATGACGTCATCAGGCCACGCCCATGGTCATGTGACTAATACTGAAAAAACGCAAAGGCTCCCAGGCAAATTACTTTAACGGAATTTTTTTCATTGATTTAATATTTTAATTTAAATCCTCATTACGCTGTGCATCATTTTGTTTCATTTCTAAAAGGTCAGATTTTGAGAGAATTTCAAAA